GTTCTGTGATGCATCCACCAAGTGAACAATTTTGTCAGCGTTTCTTAGAAGTGGTGGAGAAGCTGGCTCTTTGTGCCTTTCATTTCCTCTTCCCATTACTGGCAGCTGTGAATGCACCAGAAGGGCCTGGTGTCAGAACAGAGGGGTAAGAGCTACTTTATTTTCATAGTGGGCAACACCCAGTGGTGCAGTGGAGAGGCTGACAGACCGTGACTTTCTCCCTAGAAAGATGCGCATACACCTACAATCTTGCATATGAGCTCAGGGTATCAGCCATCCTACCTGGAACTCCAAGGAGCCAAGGTTAACAGCACCTGGGCTGCCCGGGTCCCTGCTTCTAGGCCTTGAGGAATCTCGTTAATCAGACACAGAGCAAAGAAGAAAGACCTGGGCGGCTTCACCCAGAGAACCCACAGATACCTGGCAGATAACAAACCCAGCTGCTGTTTACCTCCATGGGGGCGGGAACTTTCACTGTCACCCACATTTACCTGGTTCTGCGGTTCTCAACCTTTAGGGAGCAAGAGCGCCCCCTGGAGGGCTGGGGCTCCCCTCAGGGCACTGGCTCAGTAGGTGTGTGGGATGGGGGTGGAGGGAGACTGCCTATTTCTAACAAACTTCCCGGTGACACTGACGCTGCTGGTCTGCGGGGGCTGCCCTTTGAGAACCTCTTATCCAGGGACATCCCCTCTGTTCATGGCCTCAGAGAAAGCTGAATTTGCATAAGTGCCTCACCCATAATTGCCAGGACGCATTCCTCACTTCTTTGCTTGTTACCAATCCAGTCTCCTTTTTGGATGTTTGCGGCCACATTTGCACGTTAATGAGCTCTTTAGAACGATGGGGGCACGGCAGCTACAGAAAGTGGACACCCTGGGGTTGACTCATTCTCATACCCTTGGCTCCCACAGACCACTCCACCTTTTTTTAAGAACGCCTCAGGAACAGGGTGCCTGGGATTCCCAGCTCTGGTTGTGAGATTTCTTTTGCTTTTTTTTCATTCTTTTTTTTTTTTTTTTTCTGTATTGGGACTAGAACTCAGGGCCTTGTGTTTACTTGGCAGGTAATCTACCACTTGGGCATGCCCCCAAGACCTTTTTGCTTTAGCTGTTTTTCAAATAGGGTCTTGCATTTGTGCCCAGGCTGGCCTGAACTGCAGTCCCCCGTTTATGGTTCCTGAATAGCTGGAATGATAGGTGTGTGCCACTACACCCAGCCATTGAGATGGGGTCTCATGAACTTTTTGTCTGGGGTTGAAGAGGCAGGCCAGTAACAGGGAAGACAAAACCCACCATAGATTCCACCCTTCTCAGCAAAAGGTCTCTCCCCACCATGCTGAACGCCTCCTTGTCCCCACCCAGGACCATCTTTGGACATCCTCTCAGTTGTAAATTCCTTTGCAAGTAGTAAGTTCCCCAAAAGACAAGGGAGTCTCTTGGTGGGTTCAGACCAGAAAATGTCACACGCCCAGTAGAGAGAAATCTGTCCTCAATCTGACCTCTGAGGTAAAGCCCTCCTCTTAAGGCCTTCTGAATATTGGTCGCCATCTCATATACATAATTAAAACCCTGGGAATCAGAATGCCCCATGTGACATAACCAGTCCTTGTCGATCACACCTGTCAGTTATCCTAGTCCCTCCTACAACGACTGCCCAGGTTTTTCCCGACATTTGTCCTTACAACTTCATAAACTGCCTTTTGAACAGATTGGGGCATCTGTGCCATCTGGCTAGAGCCCACTGCTCGCTCTAGTGGTGAGTCTGGCTATCCATACCTTCCTCTCCCTTGCAACGAAACTTCGCTACTGCTTTGAAATCTGTCTCTGTTCGATTCTTTGTTCAAGGGGCACAAGAGACTGAGATCTTCTGAGACCACCCACCAGTAACAGGATGGTCTGGAATCTTGATCCTCCTGATCTCTGCCTACCGAGTGGCTAGGATTACAGTTGTGAGCCCCTGCACCCAGCTCCGCTTACTCTTTATATTCAATATCCTTGCCTCCATTTTAAGAAAAATGCAAGAGTGTTTGAGAAACCAATGGGGAACCCACTTGCTTTTGTGCAAAACCTTCCCATAATCGAGGGACTCAGATGCCGACCATGTGGGACACTTTGGGGCTCACTGTCTTGCTAGGCAGACTCTCGCAGCCGTTTACAGAGCAGCCTTCCTCTGGGTGGATGTAGCCAAACTGGGTCCTGAGCACAGTGAATCTGGGGCTGGATTTCATCCCCATGTCAAGCCTGATGTCTAGGGCTGTGCTGCTGAAATGATTGTGCATACAAATGACTGAGAGTCGTGTGAAAATGCAGATTCTCATTTGGTGTTGGGACAGGACCCAAATCTGCATGTCCAATAAGTTCTAGGGAGGTGACAATGCTGATGTCTGTAACACCTGGGGACTTTCATCCAGGTGCACAAAGATGGAGGGGTCTATATTAACACAGTCCTTTTCTGGACCTAGGAACCTAGGCTTGCTTTAGAAAGGGAAACCTCCACTCTTCAAAAGTGAAGGAAAAAAAAAAAGTGAAGGAATTGTGACTCCCAATTTTTATCAAGTCCACAAACAACCTCTCACGTACTGAGTACGAGGTTTCCGAGAGCCTCCTTCCTGTTCCCCCAGGTCAAGGAATTCCTCTTAATGTACAGATCATAAGGACACCCCATCCACATCAGGCTGTGACCCCTCTGACACAGTGGTTTTTAAAATTTGTTTGGTTATTTTTTTGAGATAGGGTCAAATAGCCCAGACTAGCCTGGACCTTGTGCTCCACCTGCCCCTGCCCCTGCCCCTGCCTAGTGCTGGGATTATAAACATGCACCACCAAGCCTGCTGGCAGTGCTTGGGTTTTGGCCCTCTCTGGGACCCTGCTGTGTGGGTCAGCACTCAGAAGGTTGCCTGAGTGCAGGAACATGGTTGACTGCCTTTCTCGAAAGCTAATGACTACATCAGTCCATTCATATTGTTGGTGTTCATTGATGTGGTCTACCTTGCCATGCTACAGCAGGAAGCCTAAAATAGGACAAATTCTGTCCAGAAAAGCCTGGGCAAAAAGTGAGACCCTATCTCCAAAATAACCAAAGTACCAAGGGCTGCAGGTGTGGCTCAAGCAGTACAGTACCTGCTTCATACACGTAAAGCCATGAGTTCCCACCAGTGTACCAAACAAACAAAAACAGGACACGTACACGTAAGTCTCAAGATTGGATGAGACCACCAGGCAAGTGAGTTTAGGAAGAGAAGATGACCAAACACTGAGCTCTGACGTGCTCCCAAATGAACAGGTCACGTGGGAGAGGAGGAACTAGCCAAGTGAGAGACCAGAGAAGGAGAAAAACCCAAGAGATGGCAGCATCCCAGAAGCCACTGGAGGGAGGTTTAGGGAAAGACGAGTGATGAACGGTGTCAATGCTGCACCATTACAGTTCTTAGCAAGATGGACACCACTGGTGATCTTAAGAATGGGAGGGGGGTGTGGAGCAAGCGAAAGTCCCTTCATAGCGGTTTAAAGGGAGAAATGAGAGGAATTTGTGGTAGTGAATATCGGTTACTCTTTTAAGATGATTTCCTGCAAAAGTCAGCAGAGAAGCAAGTGGTATTTGTCAGAGGAAATGGGTCCAAGGAAAGGATTTACTTACGCTTAACACGAGAAATAACCTAGTAAAGGGAAAAGAGGGGTGACATGTCAAAGTAATGTCCTGGTTGGTGCTACTGGCCCAAAGAAGAAGTTGGCTTTAGCCAGGAACACAGATGGTTTGACACAACCAAGAAGGCAGAACGTGTGGCAGAGGTGCTGGTGGGTGGGGAGAGGGGGTGCAAGGAGTCTGTGGAAATGGTTCTGTGAGGAGGAGGCATTAGGCAAGAGTAAGGGAGACTTGACCCACACAGCGAAGGCAACGTAAGGACGAAGAGGGAGATTTGAAGATGCTGGTCTGGAGGAATGAGGTGATGTGCCACAAGCCAAGGAATGCTGGCAGCCATCAAATATTGGCACTGATTCTCCTTTGGAAACTCCAGAGGGGTGTGGCCCGTTGACATCTTGACTTCAGTCTAGTGGTACTGAATTTGAACTTCTGGTCTCTAGAATTGTGAGAGAATAAATTAGTGTTAGGTCACTAAGTTTCTGGTAATTTGTTGTAACAGCCATGAGTCACAAATTTGGGTCCAGGAGAAGGAAAAGGCTATCAGAAAACCCTTGCCCCCATTCTGCAATCTATAACTAACACCCAGCCCAATGCCTGACATATGTTAAGGCCCGATACTCATTTGTGGAATGAATGAATGAATGAATGGGCACATTGCCCCTCCCCCCTCCGGCCTGCAGCCCAGCCTTCTCTGCTCCCAGTGCAGGGGTTAAGACGGCATCCTCCAGCACAACCCCCAAGTTTATGTGTCTCAGCTATAGTCACCCAAAGAGGAATCAGGAGAGGAATTTGGCTTCTATTTCCAGGAAAAAGGACCCTGAGTGCCTCAGCTTGATCAAGTTCCCACTAGGTTCAATGAATGAAGAAATGATATCATACTGTACAAAAGACTGTACTCCGGTGGATGGGGGCAGGGAAGAGTTTTCATGATGGAATGCCAGGCAGATAGCCCAACAGGGGTCCCACCCAGAGAGCACTGTTTCGGGCGCCTACATTTAGTTTTAGTACTGGAACTACTTAAAAGTTGGGCATGGGTTTCCCACTCACAGGCAGTGCAGTTGTACACTAGAGACGGTCATTTTTCTTGAAATGCTCACAAAGGTCAAGGATAGAGCCAAAAGCCAGCTTTGCAAAGCGACAGGGGCTGTGCATCTAAACACTGCGTCAACCTGCCTTTGTGCAGGAAGGAGACACCCTCATGGCTACCAGAAACCTCCCTCCTTACTTTAGGTTGGGCTAAGCCTAACGCCATGCTCTGGAAGAGGCAGCTGTTCTAGCAAAACGCTGATAACTCACAATGTTCCAACAAAACGTTGGGAATATCTGAATAAGAGGAAACGAGACAGGTGTATCTCTTTGTTTCTTTATTAATGAGTCAATATACACAAAGACTTAGTAAAAAGTTCCATAAAAGGCTCAAGCATCATCGAGATGTAGGTGCTTCGCTCTTGTGTCACAACAATGGCCACCTGTTAGTACCGGGTAACAAAAGCCAGGTACTCAGAGTCACCCAGTAATTTGAGTACACCCCACATGGAACTTCCAGCCAATGGGCTGCTAATGGAGGGGACCCATCCGTGCCTCTGGGTTTACTGTAACAGGTGTGAAGGGCCTCTGGGTTAGAATTGTCACGTGTTAGTGGGTCTCACTTCCTGGCCACACAAGACCAATCAAGTCCTTTCTGCAGCAAGTGACATGAGAAGGTGTGAGCAAAATGTTCTAAGAGAAGCCACCCAGGTGTCCCATGTGACAAAGAACATGGGACATAAGGTGGCCCCAGCCCCAATCTGTGGGGTGGGGAAGATGGCTAGGATTAGCTCTGAGGAGAAACAGAGCCCTCAGAGCGTGTCAGAGTGGTGGGAGATGTGAGAATGGCAAAGGCATGAGGTGAGGGGATTTTAGGAAGGGTGTGCTCCAGGGGATGTGACGGTCACACTTCTCTCTGGAAAACCAGTGGTTATGGGAAGATGACAGCAAAGCCACAGTCCCAGCAGGTCCTCAGTCATGGAGTACCATGGCTAACCAGACTACCCCTGTGAGTTGATGGTGGACATGTGCAGGCTAGACCCCTGGTTACACTTCTCCAGCTCGCTGGAAGCTGCCTCTGTCACAGGGCCCATTTCAAAAACTGGGGTGTTTGTTAACTTCCCATCTCACCTATGGGGAAAATGAAGTCACGGGCAGTGAAAGCTAACCATGGGCCCCTAAGCAGAAGCTGTGGAGCCCAGCCCTTAGTCAGATTCATCTCGGCACCGTGGAATGAGTTCAGGAGAGGTGTCCTGGAGGATGGGACCAGGTACACTGCATCTTCTGAGAGGTAGGGACAGGAATGGTGGGAGCCTCCCTTCTGGTTACCCGTATGGCTCAGGGCTTTGTTTTAGGCCAATTTATCTGCATCCAGTGAGGCAACCCCACTCAGTGCAGAGGGGAGTCACAGCTCCACGGTGGCAGGGGGTTTGCTCGTGGCGGCTGGTGCCTGGTAGGAGTTTTCCACTGCACTGAGTGTGGGACTTCCCCTTCCACTCCATGCAAAGCATCCCATCCAGGCCGCTTCCTTCCTCCTCACATCCACCATCAATCCCCACCAGCTTTGCTATGAGCAAGGCTCCCAGGAGCCTAAGGGCTGGAGAAAGCTTATCTTTTCAGTGTGGAAGAATTCACTAATACTGTAGATCTGGGAACCTCTGAAGTGCTTCATCTGGAATGTTCTCGCTTATCCTTCATTTAAGGAATACAGCAAAAAGGCCATGTGACAAATAGGAAGTCCCCACTGTTTCCTCCTGCTGCGGATTCACTCCTTGGTGGGGCTTCTCAGGACTGACCTCCCTGTGCAAGGAGCCTAGCATGTTCTGGAATGAAGAATCGCCAAGTGGCTGGGCATCCAGTCTGGTGCTCACTTGGTTTTTTTCACAAGTTTCTTTTTTCCAAAGAGGACCCAGGCTGCCTGCTGGGGTTTGGACAGTGACCTGATTTGTGACATCTGGAAAATAAGGTCACTAGCCATGCCACCTCATCCTCTGGCCTTCTCTCAGGATGCATGCTTGTTGTTCCTGCTGTTCTGCCATCTCCATCCTGGCTGTTTCCACCTGCAGCACCAGAGAGGGAGGGGGGCTCGTCAAGGAGTTGGGGGGAGTTCTGCCTCCTCGCAGAAATAGGTGTACACAAGCCATGTCATCAGCCAACTTTCCCTACCACCAAGATGGTGGAGAGTAATAAAATGAGTCAAAAAGGTAGCCAAGTCAGCCGAGGCTGGCTTAGGGAGGAAATGGCTTTCAGATCCTGGTGCTGTTTCAGTCAGAACAGTATTGAGTCCTTTTGGTTAAGATTCAGAATGAACTAGAATGTTCTAGATGGTGTCCACATAGCTTCCTTTGATGTGTCAATGTGTTTGTATCAGAGTTAACCAGGCAGCAGGATGAAGGGAAAAGCAGGAAGAGAGAGAGAGATGAAAAATCAGGGGATCTGTTGGGGGGGGCGGGGGGGTTCCTCACACATCTGGGAAGAACACTGAACTGTCTGGGGAAAAAAATGAGCACTTCTGCAAAGCCTTGGTCGCTCACCTTAGTTTTATATATTTTTAGGGCTGATGACAACCCTTCTTAGAACGGTGGATATACGCCAGCCACTCACCTCAGCAAAATAAAACTGTTTTTTAATCTCTGTGTCCTTGACAATAGCAAAGCCCTGTCTCCTATTTTCTAGGCCATGAGCAGTGTTGGTTTCCTTCCTGGGTTGGACCCATAACCAGAGGCCTCCACTACTGTCCCCATAACTTCTGTCCTCTCTGTCACTCTCCTTTCTTCCTGGGGATGGGGGAGTTTGGCACTGCTAGGAAAACTCAATTAAGAAGACAACAGCCCTGTTCCAGACAAGTTATCAGAGGTCTGCTGAAGACTGGGGACTTTGCCAGGCAGTGGGCACAGACCCTTTTAATAAAATACTCATCACTCAAATAATTTAAAATTCTACAAAAGACATCTGAGCTCAGACACTGGATGGAGCAGGGGCAGAAGCTTGCTCATGGCTTGTTTGGTGCTTGTTACATAGATATAAGCGCCACATCAAACCAACTGTATGTAGTTAAGAAAAACAACAACCCACCAGAGAGAATGAACTGGGTTAAGTCAACACAGGAAGGGCCCAGTGCTGCTTGTTTACCAGTGGCTTCCTTGTCTCTTGGGAGATGGAAAATCCAGTTCCCTCCTGCAGAGCCAGCCCCTGACTGCTCCCAGCCACCCTCCCTTGCTCCCTTCCTGTGCTGAGTCTTTGGGCCAGGGGCTGTGATTAGAAATGTTTTCAGTGCAGTCAGGCAGTGGATGGGTCCCAAGGGCCAGCAGTTCATGGTCACTGTTCCCAGGATCCCAGGCTGTCACAAGATCACACACTGCAGTTTGTGAGTTCCAGTGGCCCGGTCTCCCCGCCATTTGGTTTTCTTCTTCTTCTTCTGGCTTTTTTCTGGAATCTGTTGCCTTTTGAATAATGAAGGGCAGAAAGTCAAGGTCAGATGGGCTTTGCTTCTTTCCTGCACCTTTTCCTCTTACTCCTGAGTCAGGGGCAGAGGGGTCTGCTCTGGTGGTCAAGGGTTGGGAGTACAGACTGGGGACTCTGTTCTCTTAGTGGCTGCAGGAGACCTGACCAGATAGCCTCTCTGTGAAGAAGAAACTGGAGAAGAAGGGGATGGAGAAACCTAAAACATCCGACTGACAGAAATTATTGGCTGTGTTTATTCAAATCCTATGCTCCACCAAGTCTTATGCTTTACACTGTGGGCCTCTATTTCTATGTTTCATATTTTAAATAAAATGGCAGGCCACTGAGTGCAAAAGCTTTTTACATGTTTGAACTTTCCCTATGTCTAAAAGCTGCCCTTGGAGCTAAAGGTCCATGCAAACCCATCAGCAATGCTGAGTGCATTATACCCTAAGTGAGGGGAACTTCCAGAACAAACATAGAGTGAAGGCTACACTGTTCTCCACTATGCAGAGGAATAAAGAGAAAGTCAGGTTGTCCAGCGTGTAGGGGCCTAGGCAGGGTGTGTGTGGAGAAGGGACTGAAAGGTGGGAAGCAGGGGTCACCTTTAGATGCCCGGGGCTCATGCACAGCTGGCTAACAGCCCACAGGCTGCTTAGTCTAGTGAAGAGTTGGGAAATGGTATGGATGGGGGCGGGGTGGGGAGTGCAGGCAGGAGGCAGTTTTAGTCATAGGAGCCCCAGGTGACTAAGGTCTGGACACTGAGTCTGCAAAGGAATGTTCTGGGGACTATTCCTCAGGACTGCCTGTGGTCTGGGAGGAAGGAGCACATGCAGTGCCTGTGAAATCTGAGCCCCAGAATCACAGGGTTGGCCGTTCAGAGGAAATACCATAGAGCCTCAGCTAGCAGGGCAGGGAAGAGGACAGGGGCCTACTTTTTACCAGGGTGAAAGTTGAAAGGTCTGGTGTTGGGAGGACACCCAGGATGGGCCAGGAAGGGGACAGCTTTGTGCGGGGGGCGGGGCACAGCCCTCACCTAATTACTCTAACAAGGTCATGGAAGGCGTTGTCCACGTTGAGAGGTGGGTCCTTGGCGCTGGTTTCTATGTACGGAATCTGGAAGGCAAAGCTCAGTTTGGTCAAAGTGGAATCAGGACCCACAAAGCCCCCATCCACCCTTAAGAACGCACCTTCTCGGAGGTTCTGAGTGAGAACACCCCCACAGAGCCCCAGCCTAGCAGCCTCAAGCCTCCTTTGGAGGTTCTTGCCCTCTAAGGTTGAAAGTCTTCCTAATGGCTTTGACAAGTCCCCCTTGTTCCCTACTCACAGATACTGAAGCGCTCTCTAAAAACAGAATTCAAATGATCTTTTTTATATATTTGAAGACTAAAGACTTTCTCAAACTAAGAGAGATTCTGATTGTCCTCATCCTCTCTGAGGTTAGTTTCTCCACCTGAAGGTCACCTCTGACTGTCTTTCTGGGCCCCGCCAGTATGGACAGCAGTGGGCAAGGTCCTAGCCTCCTAGCACAGCCATGAATAGGACTTTGAACCCTGGTGACCCTGGCCGGTCTGTGCTGGTCCCACCCCAGCACACAGCCCCTTCCAGCTCTTGTTTGCTCTGTATCCACAAGTCTGGGAGCTCCGCCATGTTTACACAAGGATAACGCTGAGGTAGCAGCGGCCAGGCCGCCCAGTGGGCCATGTGTACCTCAAAGCTCGAGCTGGCTAAGGGACAGAAACACACTCCTGTGTGCTCATGTTCTCCTGTGACAGGGACCCCTCAGAAGTAAGAAGTGCTCATCCCCCACACTTGGCGGGGGGTGGTTCAGGAAAACACAGCACAGGCCTCCCTGGATGAGAAGGAAATAAATCAGCCGTGACTACACTGTAGGACTTTGTTATATTCCCTGACGGTTTCTGATTACAAAATGAGCGAGTGCCTTTGGTTACAATACATTCGAAGAAAAAAATCCAAGTGACCCTTCTTTAAACGCATGGGTGAAAGTAACAGGGCATCACTGCTGCACAGGAGTGCGTTGGGAAGCGTGACGCAGAACACAGCAGCCAGAATCCGCGTCAAAAATCAGTGCCTGAGGTCAGATGTCCACGCAGCTGTGGCTTTGAGCAGAGGTCTTATTGGGGTTGACAGACACACAAAGAGAGGGACCCAAAAGGCCCAGCTCAGGGTCCCTTTGAAGACTTTATTTGCCACATACGTGAGCCTCTGACCACAGTGGAAGACAGCGCCCCCACCATGGGCTGCTCTACTATGGCTACATGGGTTCCCAGTCCCACATCCCAGCCCTCTTGAATCCTTTTTGGGCACGAGAGTGTGTCCGTCCTGCAGCCGGGAGACTGAGCTCAGGCAGCTGTGCCCAGAAGGTCTGTCTGACCCACAGAGACTCAGGGACACTTTCTACCTCCCCTCGGGCCTCCCGTGCACGAATGGAGTGCTGACCCCGACTGGACACCACGTCCAGGTCTGGTAGGGTCTCTGATCAGCATCCTAGGAGGCCTCGATGGATGACACTCCACCCTGGGCATGCCCAGAAGGAAGGAGGAAGCCACCTGCAGCGGGAGCCGGCACCTGGTGCGCCCCAGGCATCCTGCTCTGCTGCCAGCACAGTGGTCTCAGACTAGTGGGAGCTCATCTTGCTCTCTCTCACCCCATTTCCAATCTGTAAGCGAGTCTTGTTGGATCGCTTAGAAATACAGCCGCAACCGGACCCGCCTCTCACCCCTTTCATGATTACCATGCTGATGCAAGTCGCCTCGTGTGGACCACTGGGTATCCTGAGCCTCAGCGACCTGCTCTCCCCCTTCTCCACAATGGACAGTTCTCAACATGGCCACCAGAGAGAAGCTGTTCAGCCAGAAGCCAGACCGTGTCACTCTTTCCTCGAAACCCTCCAGTCTCCCCTCCTTTCTCACAATAAAACCCCACAGGACCTTAAACCACCTCTCTGACCTCATCTTCTATGACTTTCCCCTCCTGCTCCCTCTGCTCAGCCACAATGGCCTCCATGCAGTTCTGCAAACTCTGACTGCAGGGCCTTTGCACAGATCATTCCCTTTGCTAGAATGTTCTTCTCCCAGATAGCTGCAGGGTTCATTCCCTTACCTCTTTAAGTTCTTGCTGAGGGTCCCAGTAAAGCACTCCCTCCACTCTGCATCTCTGATTCCTTCCCTGACTTGCCTGTTTCTGTAGCATGTGTCACCCTTGGACTGACTCTAATTTGCTTTCATTATTACTCGTTTAAATTACTAAAAGTTAGCACCTCAAGGCAGTGAATATTGTCCCTTAGAGCCTAGAACCATGGAATGACAAGTGAAGGGACACAGAAGGCAGACACAGGCAGAACAAACTCCTGATGTGCCCGTTCCTCTACGTGACAGTGGGGCACTGGGTGGAGGGGAGAGGGAGCCCTGTAGCAGACTCCCCAGGACGCAGTGCAGACTTGCACAGAGCTGATCCAGAGCACAGACTGTGCCGACTGTGCCAATGCAGGGTTGTGGTAGGGGGAGGGTCAAGGGGAACCCAGAGACCCCAGAAAACACCATCCAGAGGGCAAGGGGCATTACAACACACTAGAAAGCCTGTGGTGCCTGCTGATCTCCAGTGTGGCCTGGCACAAGCCTCAGTGTGACCACCTGTCAAATGGGAATCACAATGCCTAGTGTGAGGTGTGGTTGGCTGTCTGGGGGAGGGGGGCAGTGCATGCTCCCTTGGCACAAGGCCAGGATCAAAACATGGCCCAGTGAGCAGAGCTGATCCTGACGACACAGATCATGATCAGGTGCTGACTCAGAAGTGGCAGCGCCCAGTTTGTTGGGCTGATTGGGCTCGACCAGAGGTGTGCTGAACACCACGGTCTCCAGGCTACGTTGGAAGCAGCTGGGCCCCACAGCAGAGCTTCTGACGCGGCACAGGGTGGTTTTGCTCGGGTCTGGACTCACTTGTTCCAGAAATAGCCATCACGTTATCCCTTACAAGGCCTCTGGGGAACCCAACTGCTACCTAGGAGGTCCAAATCCTGTTTCCAAAGACCAACATGGCAGGAAGGATGGAGTGTGGATGTTTACACACCCCTGGTCCCCAACCCATGGGCACACATGCATGAACCCACACACGCACACCTACATTGTGTTTGGTTGCCATTTCTTTTCCTTGCTCCCTGGTGATTTTCCTCAGGTGCATCAAGTCCACCTTATTGGCAACGAGGATCATGGGGAAGGACTCCCTGGGAGATAAAGAAACAGCAGTACTGTGAGATTGTCCCTCTGTTCCCCACCCAGCACAGGTGGTCAAGGTGGTGACACAGCTCACAGCCCCTGCCCAATGGGCTTGGGGCTGCAGAGCCCCTTCTTCTCTCTTTCCAGAACGAGGAAGGGGCCTGGGGTGGTCCCTTGAAAGCTAGTGGCGAGGCTGGCCGGGGGCTGCTGGGCTGAGGGTTGGCTCCCCCTGCTCCCTGTCTCTCTAGCACCCTGATGTACCCTTCCCCCTTCACTGCAGGACTGCCTGTGCCACCAGCACTCATGACCAGCACAGGGGCAGGGGCTGGCACGCAGCTGGCTCTCCACAAATGGCGACTGTGATGTGAGGATGGCTTCCAGGAGAGGAAGGGCGGGACCCAGCAGCATGTCCACCCACACGTTCTTACTGACATGTGTGACTGGACCACCGTCAAGTCCAAGGAAAAGTCAGTCTTGCAGCACCTTTGCCAGTACTGGGAATTTTCATTAAAAAAAAAAATTGTAGAATGACAGAGGGGAAAGGGAACTTTGTTATTTTCCTTAGATTTCTTTGATAAGCAAGAAAGTTTGGCTGGCAGAGTGGCTCAAGCAGTAGGGTACCTCCCTAGTAAACACCAAGCCCTGAGTTCAGATCCCAGTGCTACAAAAAAAGAAAAGAAAGGAAATTAAATGTTTTCCCACAACTGAGCCACTCCTATATTAACTATGCTCAGTTAATAGATTAACTCACATTAATTACTGCAGCCATGTGGGCGTGGGTGGGCATGGGTGGGTGTGGGGGGTGTCCCCTCTCTCTGTGACGTTCTCAACCTTTTTCCTTTGCAGTAGGTGCTAACTACATTTTTCTTCACCGGGATTTAGTCAAAGCTTGCCATTTCTCTGTTAGTTTGCCATTGTCTTTTCTTTTCTTCTTCTTTCCTCCCCCCTCTCCCTTCCTCCCTCCCCCTTCTAGAGAGAGAGCTTCTGGCTTAGGTCACACTCTACGTCTGAGCTCTACCCCAAGCCTTCCTTTTATTTTCTTTACATTTTCTCCTTGAAATCCAACTAACAAACATCAGTTGGACTCAAAACAGCCTCCAAATTATTTAATTATTTTATACAAATCTAAGAAAAAATGGGTGTTTAACTGGGGGCTAATGAATCTCACAGTCAGATGCAATTGAATGGATTACAATGCATTCTGGAGCGAAAATTCACTTTTTCTTTGAAAATAACGTAACTGTTGGAGATGAAAAGCACGATGTTATTGATCCCTTCTCTGAGGAGCAGTTTCTAAAGGGGCGGGAGCTGACCCCTTGGAGCCATGGAAGCAGTTTGGCCCTGAATCAAAACTAGGGAAGGGGGTGGGGGTGTGGCCCATGAGGTGGAGTGCCAGTCTGGTAAGCTCAAGGCCCTGAGTTCAACCCCTAGTACTGCAAAAACAACACAAAAAACATAGGGGAGGGCTGGGCACAGTGATTCATCCCTGTAATCCTAGCTACTCAAGAGGTGGAGATTGGGAGGATCATAGTTCAAGCCCAGCCCAGGGAAAGAGTTGGCCAGACCCCCTTCTCAACAAACAAGGCGGGTGCGGTGATTCATGCCTACAATCCCAGCTCCACAGGAGGCATAGGTGGGAGGATCCCAGGCTGAGAGAGAGACAGAGAGAGAGAGAAACCCTTTGAGCAGGGAGCTCTACCCACTGCTCTCACCTATCCTTGACTCGCAGGATGAGCTGGTGGAAGCGGTCCACGTGCTCGAAGCTGGCCTTGTCGGTGACGGAGAAGACGATGAGGAAGCCGTCCCCAGTGCGCATGTACTGCTCACGCATGGCGCTGAACTCCTCCTGCCCGGCTGTGTCCAGAACTGGGGAGGGATGAGGCCATTCAGGGGCTGCCACTGCCCCCACAGGATCACCCAGGCTGATGTCCCCTGTCCCCACGGGGGCCATTGATTCTGGCATCAGATGAGGCGTCCGCAACCTGCACTAAAGTTCTTGCTTCATTTGGGAAGAGGCGGATGGGACTGATAACGTCTTGACAGGTAGGAAAAACGCACGCACACTCTTAGGTACACAGCACAAGCACCCGGAGGACAGAATTACACTCCAAACTTCCACATCAGTAGACCAGAGTGAGCTGGAGGCTCATGGGGTAGACGCCAGTCTAGCACGTGGGAGGCCCTGAGTTCAAACCCCAGTACCACCAAAAAAACAAAAGTTGCATAGAGAGAATAACAGAACAAAGAAAATGGGATCAACTCAGAAGGCAAAACTAAACCTAACAAAAATAAGCAAGTACAACAAAAAGTACGTGTGAAATACATGGCAGATATAAACCTATGGCTGATAACAACAAATGCAAATGGGTTAATTTCACCAGTTAAAAGCAGACCCTTAGTACGAAAGCTGTTTGTCTGCTACTTACAAAAGACCCGTGTAAAGCAAATGACCCAGAAAAGACAAGAAGTGAAAGGTGAAAAAAGAATATACCTTCACATGCTAACCAAAAGAATAGAAATGCATCCACAAAGTAGAATTCAAGGCTAAATCATTAAACAGGACAAATACAGGGTGTTTATCATGAGGAAAGGTACACGCATCAAGAAGTGCCAATGTCGTGAATCATAAGTTTCTAGGAATGTTGAGGGCAGGAGTGGTGGTGCATGCCTGTAATCCCAGCTATTTGGGAGGTGGAGATCAGGAGGATCACAGTTCAAGGCCAGTCTGGACAAAAAGTGGAAAGACTATGTTACAATCAGTGATTTGGGCGTGGTGGTGTGCACCTGTCATCCCAGCTATGCAGGAAGCTGTAGGTAAGAAAGATCACTGTCTGAGGCTGAGGCCAACCAGGGCATAAATGCAAGACCTACCTGAAAAATAACTAAAGCAGAAAAGGGATTTGGCGGGGGGAGTGGCTCAAGTGGTAGAGCGCCTGCCTAGCAATGTGAGGGCCCTGAGTTCAAACCCCACTACCACAAATAATAATTGTAATAAGGTTGCTTAAATTACAGATGTATAAAAACTGAATTTAAAAACAGGAACAGCAAATGTCAGGATCATTGTGGGAGACATGAATAGCCTCTCTTACAGACAGAACACAAAGTAAAGATTTGCCATTAACAGAACCAAGACTATAAAGAATCTATTCCCTTGAAAAGTGAAAACACGATACTGCTCCCTAACTCCCCACTAGATAGAAAAGCAAAGCAGAGCTCACAGTTTAGAATCAAAGGATGATGAATTTTGGCCCAAAATGGTCCCCAGAGGAAAATTATAGCTGCAAATGCATTTCAGAAAACAAAACTGAAATTCAACTACTTTAATCAAGAAGTTAGAAAAGGAAAAATACAACCACAGAGGAAATCATCAATAAAAGTATAAACTGTAAGAATGGGAGGAGGGAGAAAGTCGTTGACGTCTAAAACTCAAAAGCTGATTCTTTAAAAGGACCAATTTAAAAACAAAACCTTCAGCAATTTTAACCTGAGGTGAAAAGACAAGACAGGCATTTGGGCTGAGAGGAGGCCTGTGTTTAATCACAAAAGAAAACTGCAATTTCGTAGCAATGCGTTTTCAGTTCTGGATGAAATTGATGGTTTAACAAAATATAAGTAATTAAAATTGACTCAAGAAAATATATAAGCTGGGCACTGGGTGGCTCACGCCTGTAATCCTAGCTACTCAGGAGGCAGAGATCAGGAGGATCATGGTTCGAAGCCAGCCCAGGCAAATAGTTCATGAGACCCTATCTCAAAAAAGAAACCATCACAAAAAAGGGCTGGCAATGTGGCTCAAGGTGAAGGCCCTGAGTTCAAATCCTACTACTGCAAATAAATAAATAAATAAATAAATAAATAATAGCCTGAATACGCCAATAACTGCACATACAAAATCCACTCCACCAATGGCAGACAGCTGTCCTTGGCCAGCCCAGCAGGTGCACAGGGAAAAGGAAGCAGGGATGGGAGGCCAGTGTGGGCTCCATCCTTGTCCGGGATGTAGACAAGGTGTGTGTCCTTTCCACACACGCTCCTGGAAATGCCACAGGCCCCGGTCAGCTGCCCTGCCTCGGCTCGCTGGGGGAGGCTGGAGAAAAGGGGAGTCCTCCTGCCTCCCCATCCCTGATGTCAAGAAAGGAGGCGGACTCCAGGGACAGAAAGCCTTAGTCACCATGGGTGAAGAGATGTGTGTGTGTGAGATAGAGAGACAGAGATAGAGATAGAGACAGACAGACAGAGGGAGATAGAGACAGAGAGAGAGAGAGAGAGAACAGCAGTGTGGAGTCAGTGTCCTTGACTTGGGGGCCGAGGGCTGGCAGGGCTCAGGGGAGGGCATTTAGTGGGGAGGCTGCTCTTAGATCTTGTGGATTTCAGAAGGCAGACCCCATGTGCTGGCACGGCATGAGGTCCGGGTAGGCGGGCAGCCAGCATGGAGAGCCCTAGCTTGGGTCCCCTTTGCAACTGTCATGACTTCCTCCTCCTCCTTTCCCCTCCCCCTCATGCAGAGGGCCATCTGGAACCAGCCAGGCTGTGTCTCCATTCCAAGTTGAATGCCTGTCCCCTCCTCTCCTGGAGCGTGGCTGGGGTGCCGTGCACCGTCCTCCTCAGAGGAGGCCTCCATCTTTGAACCCCTACAATTGCATGTGCCACCTGTCACCACACTTGTACCCTTGGCCTGGCTCAGCTCTGCACCACGTAGTGGAGCCCCAAAGGACAGGAGTCCTGTACTCCCCTCCCCGGGCCCCCCAGAAGTGGCAGCACCCAAACAGGTCTCACAAAACAGGCGCAGAAGGACAGACAAATCACGCATCTGCCTCGGGCAATGCTGGAACTGTGTTAAAACTGCCACAGGGGGCTCACACCTGTAATCCCAGCTACTGGGGAGGCCAAGATTAAGAGGATCATAGTTTGAGGACAACTTGAGCAAACATAGGGAGACCCCATCTCCAAAATAACCAGAGCACAATGGACTAGAGGTATGATGAAAGCAGTACAGTGCCTGCTTTGTCAAAAACATAACAAACAACCTTCCCCCCGACCCCCCACCCCCACCCAAACTAGCCTGTTTCAGCATTAAGGAAAAGCACTAAACACTGACCTTTTTTTGGTGGTGGTGGTGGTACTGGGGTTTGAACTCAAGGCTTCATGCTTGCTAGGCAGGTGCTCTACCACTTGAGTCACATCCCCAGCCTTGTTTGCTTTAGTTATATTTCAGAGAGGGTCTCACTTATCTGAAGCGAGCAGGCCTCAGACCTCAATCCTCCAAGAAGCTGGGATCACAGGCACACACCACCACCATGCCCCTGGCTTGTTTATTGAGATGGGGTCTTGTTAATTTTTTGCACAGGGTTGGTTTCAAACTGAGATCCTCCCTATTCTGCCTCTTGAGTAGCTGGAATTACAGATATGAGCCTCCATACCTGGCTTCTTTTACCTTAAGTAAAATAAAAATAGAATAAATAAAGCCAAAAAAAAAAAAAAAAAACCTTGCCCATTAGCCTCACATCACATTTTTGCCCGCCCTCTCCTCCACTCCCTCCCCAGCCTGTTCTAATCAGGCTTTTACTCCCCACCACTCAGCCACAGTGGCTTTTGTAAAGTCCCCACACAGGTCCAGCAGGCACTGCTCAGTCCTCTCCCAGCCTCTTATGCCCTGAGGGTCCCACCCTCACTTGCCCTCCTCCCACTGCATCTCACTCCTGCACCCTCTCCATATTTCCATCTCAGCCCACACGCCTCCCTGTCCAGGCTCAAACACTGAGCTGCTGCGTGACTCCTACTTGTACCTGTGAACAACGCTCAGGTTTAATGGGTCCAAAATTAGACTTGTCCCTTCCCAGACTTTCTAAACACAACTCTGTGCTCCCAGATCTATAGCCCGCTTTTCCTTCTCCTCCCACTCCACCCCTATTCTCCTCCAGCAGCGCCCCAGCCCACCATCAGGGGCCTCTCCTAGTCTTCCCTGACACAGGAGCCAGAGTAAGCTCAAAAGCCTCCAATAGCTCCCTAGTTCCCTTGGAGGTCCTGCAAGGTCAGGTCCATCAGCTACCTCCTCATCTCTCCTGCCTCCCCCTCACTCTGGGTTCCTAGATATTTCCCAAATAGACCAGATACACTCCTGCCTTGGGGCCTTTGCACCTGATCCTCTTACTGCCCAAGCTTTCTTCCCCCTGATACAGGTATGGCTTTGTCCTCCAGTCTCTTGGAAGAGCATCGACTAGTGACAAAGACCTTCTCTGACCAGCCCACCTAAGATGGCACCCCCTACCTCACTTTTTCCCTTCCCTTGCCCTCTTCTACTTTACAGTATTTATCAGCACCTGACACCATACTACTTGCTCATGTCTGTCCCCCAAGCTTCCGAGTGAAAGTAGGGGCTTTGCTCTGCCAAATGCTGCATCCTCAGAACCCCAAAGAGAGCCAGGGCAGCTGGTTCTCAGAAGTGTTTGCTGAGTGAATAAATGAACACACCAGGTACATAAGATTTGGGGTCCAGTCGGCATATCACTGCGGGGAGATGTAGTGTCCCTAACTCAGGGACTTTAAGTCTCACTCCTGGGCCTCCACAGACATGAGGGCAGAGGCCCAGTGGCCCCTCGTCTGCACAGGTGGTAGGGCCTATTCTTAAGAGCAGAAAGCCACCCTTGCAAATAATAATATAAGTTGTATTTGAGGAATTACAGCAACGACAGCATCTCCTGGGGTTTACTCCATACCAGGCACCTCACACTCACTCAATATACAGTCACTGAACACCTCAGGATGCCACGTCAGGGCTGGCGTCAGAGACAATGGTGAGTGACAACGTCTATTATTTCATTTATGCTTTGTACCACCTGTGAGGGCTTCTCCTGTGTGACAGTTGC